GTGTATTTCAATGGCTTCTCTGTGTAGTCTGACATGGTGGTTGTGAGAGTGGTCCAGTATTTCTGTGTTCTCGAATAATATGCTGTATCCAGGTTGGTTCATCAGGTGCTCTGCACAACACACATCTATGGCAGGCATTCTCAGAGGTTAGGAGGTCTGTTGGAAACTAGGCAAGTGAAGCTTTGAAGCTGCAAGGCCATTCAGTGCTAATGAAGGTGGCCAATTGCAACATTCGCACTTGCCTTAAAGAAACAAGAGTTCTTTTCCCACCCTAGACATTATTTCACAGACATATAAACCTCACTTGCCTAGTTTCCAACAGACCTCACAACCTCTGAGGATGCCTGCCATAGATGTGGGCAAAACATCAGGAGGGAATGCTCCCGGAACATGACCAGACAGCCTGGAAAATTCATAGCAACCCAGTGATTCTGGCCATGAAAGCCTTCAACAGCACAATAATAGTAATAATAATAATAATAATAATAATAATAATAATAATAATAATAATAATTCATTAACCACTTCTCCTTCTAGTTACTATTTGAACTTACAGTTGCTAAGCACCTCCATTTTACTGTTCATTTGGCACTGCTTGTGATTGGCACTGAACATATGTAACCAGGAGGTTGGTTTGCATTTCTGGTTCAAGTCTAGTTTCAACTCAAGCTTGAAGGCAGATGCTCCTGGGTAGTTGATGCTAAATCCCTTAAAATCCCTAAGAAACCCATGTCTCTATGTTCCCTCTGCGAATTCAGGGGGATATTAGCAACAGGAGCTGGGGTAAGTCACGTTTTGTCTGAGTGCCTCTCCGGCCTGCCTTGAACCATGCCATGCTCCCCCCATTTCCAACACAGTTTAACAATCCAGCGCTACTTTTTTAGAGGGCTGGCTTATTTGCAAGCGGAGTGTCCTAGAGATTTATGATGCTTTTTTGTAATAAATGGTTTGTTTACAAATATACAGTGAACAGATGGGAGCTGAACTCACTCAGACGCAATACCAACAGCATGGCCAACAACAATATAACATGCCGAGGGGCGATGGGTATCTCAAAACATATCCACACACAAGTTGGATAACCTCCCGATCCTAAAGACTGCCGCTGCCTTACATACCCAGCATCCAAAGAACTCCACCATTCAAATGCTTGAGGCAGAGAAGGATATTTCTGTAGGGAAGGGCAGTTCAACAGGCATCAATGTATTGTCGAAGGCTTTCATGGCTGGAATCACTAGGTTCTTGTAGGTTTTTTCGGGCTATAGGGCCATGTTCTAGAGGCATTTCTCCTGACGTTTCGCATGCATCTATGGCAAGCATCCCCAGAGGTAGTAAGTAGGTCTGTTGGAATTAGGAAAATGGGTTTATATATCTGTGGTATGGTTGGGGTGGGGCAAAGAGCTCTTCTCTGCTGGAGCTAGGTGTGAATGTTTCAACTGACCACCTTCATTAGCATTTGAAGGCCTGGCTGAGCCTGGGAAAATCTTTTGTTGAGAGGGAAACACAACATACAAACAATCTACAAACCCACCAAGAAAATCCAACAAATGCTACGTTCAGCAAAGGACAAGAGGGATCCTCTCACCCCTGAAGGAGTCTACTGTATACCATGCATCTGTGGACAAGTCTACATAGGGACCACCAAACGCAGCATTGCCAAAACACGAATCAAGGAACATGAAAGGCA